ATCCCGGGCGGACCGGCGGACCCCCAACTCTGATGCCTCCCCCCAGGAACCTCCCCCTCCAGAAAATGGTGAGGGTCGCCGACCCCCCCCCCCCCGCCAGAGGGCTTGGGGGACTTCAGCGCCCCCTCCCCCGGGGACCCACCACTACCACCACCATCAGGCAGCCGGCTGCCCTCTTTTCCCGCGCGTCCCGCTCACCGGAGGCGGAGGAGGCCGGTCACGGCGCCGGCAGCGGCGGCCTCCCGTCACACGCGGCTCCGCCACCAGCTGAACCAGCAGCTGCCACCGCCGCGCCTCGCGCCCCGCCGGAGAGAAGCGCGCCGACCGCCATCTTGGCCGAGGGGAGGGGCGTGCGGGGGAGTGGGCGGAGCCACGGGCGCCATGGAAACCGGCCCGCCGGAGGTGGGGAGGGGCGGTGCGCGCCCTTCAGTTATGAGGGGTGGGGGGGCCTAGCAGAGCCCCCTCCCCCCCCTCAGAAGAAGGGGGTCTATAGAATCCCCAGAGGAATGGGAGACACAGAATTAATCCCTAATACAGGAGAAGGGTTGTGGCTCAGGGTTGACATGTGGGGTCTTCGGTGGTCCCTGAGCTTGTTTTCTGGCAGATGTTTCATGACCCACCTAGGGAACACCATCAGTGGGAGGAGGGAGTTGGGTTTGTGAGTAGAGAGAGGAGGAGGAGGAAGAAGAAGAAGAGGAGGAGGAGGAGGGAGGAGGAGGAAGACGAAGAAGTAGTAGTACTGCTGCTACTACTACTACTGCTACTACTACTACTGAGGGGTCCTTGGTGCTCTCTGAGGTTGCTTGTTTTCTTGCAGACATTTCATGACCCAACTAGGGAACACCATCAGTGTTGGAATGGGGTGGGGTATGCAGAGAGAAGGAGAAGGAGTATGGTGTCCTTGGTGCTCTCTGGGCTTGGTGGCTTTCATGCAGATGTTTCATGAGCCAACCACATAACATCATCAGTTCTGCAAAGGGTTGGAGTGCACTGATGATGTTACCTAGTTTGGGTAATGAAACTTCTGCAAGAAAACCAGCAAGCTCAGAGAGCACCAAGGACCCCTCATAGTATGAATCACCTGGAATAATGAGAAAATCCTTGGGGGCAGGCAGTTCAAACTGATTAAGGGGTTCATAGACACCTCTAAGGTGTTTCTCCATACTTTCCTTGAGAAAGAGGGGGGGTGTCGGGGTCAGGCAGGAGGCCAGAGCAGATCATCTTATGAAGCACCCCTGAAATAATGTGGGGGTCCTGGGTTACAGCCAGGAGTGAGTGCTCAAAGGGGTTCATAGTATGCAACAGACCTAAGTATTGGGGCACCCCCATATCACTGAGCACCCCATACAATGGCGACAGCAGGAGGGACCATTCAAGGAGAGATCTAAGATTCAGTATCCAGAAATAAGGGGGGATCATATTCAAACCCCTGCAAAATAATGGCTTTGTGTACAACTGAACACCTCTGAAAAATGAGGGGTGGCTGGCAGCAGTCGAGAAGGGACGTGCAAGGAAAGAGCTTAGCTTCAGCACCCCAAAATAAGTGCCCCTTTTCACAGGATGAAGGCCCATGTATTGTAATAGGAGACACTCCTTCCAATGCCCTGAATTATGGAGGGGGCTCCAAAGGAGTGAGAGAGAGAGAGATGTGGGGTTCCTCGTCTTGGTCCCTGAGAAGTAGAGGAGAACTTTACATTTAAGTCCCCTAAATTACGTTGAGCTTCTTGTGCAGAAGGGGGTCAGATACTGCAAGGTTACAGGAACTGGGCATTGGTAATCTAGGGAAGAGAAGGACCAGGGGAGACAGGATAGCAGTCTTCCAATATTTGAGGGGCTGCCACAGAGCGGAGGGGGTCAAGCTATTCTCCAAGGCATCAGAAGGCCAGACAAGAAACAATGGATGAAAACTGATCAAGGAGAGGTTCAACCTGGAAATAAGGAGGAACTTTCTGACAGTGAGAACCATCAACCCATGGAACAGAAGTTGTCTTCGGAAGTTGTGGGAGCTTCATCACTTGGGACTTTCAAGAAGAGATTGGACAGAGATTAGTCAGAAATGGTGTGGGGTCTCCTGCTTGAGCGGGGGGTTGAACTAGATGACCTATAAGGTCCCTTCCAACTCTGTTAATCTGTTAAAACAAGGATTCTTCCTTCAGGCACTCCCAATTAGGGGGAGAAAATCCATATTATATAATAACTGGTCTTGTCAGATTGAAACAGTGTGCAGATTTTTGTCAATATAAATGAATGATCACATGGAAGCCTCTGGGCAAAAGGGAGAAATATGTATTTATAAGGGGGGGGGAGGTCTGTCCAGCTGGAAAAACAATGACATGCTTTCATCCCGGAAGGAATAGATGCAGGGAGGAAAGTCCTGGAGAATTTATAAAGAGGAGGTTGGATTAAACATTCACCCCCTCACTCTCTCCTATGACCTCCATATGTTTGGGGGTAATTGCCAACTTCCAAATAAATTGCGTAGTATAGATCCGTAATGGCAAACCTAAGAAAGAAAGCCTCTGGAGCCTGGGGAGGTTGAAAAACGGGTCCACCGTGCCATCGTGCACCAAAAGCAGGGGGAGGCTTTCAAGAAGAGACTGGACTGCCATCTGTCAGAAATGTTGAAGTGTCTCCTGCTTGGGTGGGAGGTTAGACTAGATGACCCACAGGGTCCCATTTCTGACAGATGGCAGTCCAGTCTCTTCTTGAAAGCTTCCAGTGATGAAGTTCCCGCAACTTCGGAAGGCTCTTCAATTGGTTGATTGTTTTCACTGTCAGAAAATATCTCCTTATTTCCAGGTTGAATCTCTCCTTGGTCAGCTTCCACCCATTATTCAGATGTTCAAGATGTAATTAGATTAGCTGATATCAGTGAAGAATAGATCTAATCAACTTTGATTATTAATTCAGTGGGAAAATAGAGAGCAGGTCAATGGTAGGAGGTGGACCTGACTCTATGGGGCTCCGTCCATGATGTTTGAAGAGCCACAAAGATGACTGGGGAGCTGAAGGCTAAAACAATTGCAGAAATTGGGCATGTCTAGTGAAAAGAAGGATTAAGAGGGGCTGCCACAGAGAGGCACCAGAAGGCAAGACAAGAAGGAATGGATGGAAACTAATCAAGGAGAGAAACAACTTAAAACTAAGGAGAAATTTCCTGACAATGAGAATCAGTGGAAGGACTTGACTTCAGAAGCTGGGGGTGCTCCATCACTGGAGTTTTTTAAAAAGAGACTGGACAGCCATTTGTCTGAAATGGTGGAGGGTCTTCTGCTTGAGCATGGGGTTGGACTAGAAGACCTCCAAGGCCCCTTCCAATTCTGTAGTCTGTTATTCTAAAGGCTGCAATGTTTATTNCTGTAAATCCTCCCTTGAAAGACTTTGCTAGATGTGAATGAGCAGAATTCAGAGTCAATTAACAAAGGGTTTTTTTGTTGGGACAAGGAGTTTGCTTCGTGCTCTTGGGAAGCCTCGGTCAGAACAAATGGTTTATTTTAAATTCTTTGCCCAACCTAGTCAAAACATCTTCAATTTCATTCCCTACAGATGCTTCCTGCCATATTAAATGCTCCAATTCCCGCCAAGTTTCCCCAGAACAATAAACTAGTAAGGAAAAACTGACTTACCCCAGATCTGTTAGTGGGGGCTTGTCCCTTCCTCTCCTGTAGCACATATATATTTGGGGTCCCATGAGGCTGCCATTGTTGAGATCAGCAGACAGTCCTGAAGGAGTGACATCAATGCATTTGTATCCAGGAGGGACTTCTTCCCCAAGGGATTTAATGATCACCGCCACATCTGTGATTGGTTCTTTGGGCTTTGCAAGCTTATGACAAGCATCATTGAAATGAATTTCCTCCTCAAGTGGTTTAGAAATATCGGTTAATCCTGCCACCACAAAATAGTCAGCAACCCGAGATCCTCTGTCTTCCATCTTCCATTCCAGAAAGTTCTATCTGGTGAAGGGTTAAAAACAAAACAAACAAACAAATAAATAGCATAGTCAACGTGACCATATGGAAGTATTCCTTAAAACCAGCAACTTTCAAGAACTATTACATTTTAGGGGGATGACTTGTCCACATTCAGTTTTCGGTGTAACATTTTTATTGAGTTATAAAATATTGTAAGATGTAAAATAGAAAAGTAAATAGGAAAAAGGTAGGGAGGAAGAGAAGCGAGGAAGGATACCATTGACTTCCCACTCTCTCTGTTGCGGTTAAAATAAGACATTAACATCAAATCACAACTTTTTGCTTTTTCATAATAATATGAACAAGCCATTTCTACAAAGATCTATCAGTCTAATCTTTAAACCCCAAATCAGTGTTTCATCCTTTTCTACTTTAAGCACAAAGTTTAGAGGTGGTCTCAATGTGGAAACAAAAATACTTATATATTTTTCTTTAATCAAAGTCAGCCACATTCAGTTTTATGTAAAAGAGACTTTTCCCCCTCCCCTCATCATGGAATGAAAATACACTTAAGATTTCAGGATTTGGTTATACACCCAAGTTCCAGCTTCATTATATAAAAACCAGAAATGTTCATTTATCAACAGACCATAAGCATATAGAGCTTGTCTAGTTGTGAGCTCAAAAAGCTCATGTACTAGGAATGCAGAGTTCTTTTTTTGCAATAATAACAGAATTTTGTATCAAGATATTCCCTTTTCAGCCTTTGGCTAAGATTGTAATTGTAATTGCTTTATTTGTATGCCGCCCTTTTCCCTGGGGGGACTCAGGGCGGCTCACAATTTCAGGATTAGCCATAGTGTACACTAGTGTTTCTCAACCTGGTTGACTTTAGGATGTATGAATTTCAACTCCCACAATTTCCCAGCCAGCACACAGGAGCTGAAGCCTACACATCTTAAAGTTGAGAAACACTGGTTTGTAAAATCACTATGTTGTGTTATATACCATATAAAACACACCAACATCATTTTAAGCAACTTATTGTACTGGGAACTTTAAGTGAAATTATAGCCTCAACCCTCAAAAGCAATTTGTGCCGACATAATGGAACTTCAATATTTTTTCAAACATAATATTGGCTGTGTAAGCAAATGCTTGTAAGAGTTTACACAATGCAATCCAGATTAGCCGTCTTCCTACTCTCCCTGACCCCCCCCCCAACACTATTTTGTAACAGGGGGTAAAAGGGGAATTAAGAAAATAACTGTATGCACTGCAGAAATGTCAAGTACAGAATGACTAATAATTGAAAAAGAAAAGAAGAGATGCTAAATATATATTCCATTTTTTTCTCCAGGAGCTCAAAGAATCTTACCTGGAATATTCCCTTTATAATATTTCTCTGTTAATAACAGTCCTGTGGGGCGGCTTACACTGAAAAAGGGGGAATGAACTTGAATCTAAATGTGGCTTGCACACACACAAACACACATGGGATAAAGTGGATTGGATCCCACTAATTCCTATAGAACAGAATAACAGAATTGAAAGGGACCTTGAAGGTATTCTAGTCCAAAACCTTGCTCAAATAGAAGATCTTATACCATTCTGGACAAATCTTTTCTTAAAAACCTCCATCGATGGAAACCACCAACTTCAAGATACAAGCCTTTCCACTGGTTAATTATCCTCACGGTTAGTAAATTTCTCCTTAATTCCAGGTTGCTTCTCTCCTTGATTAGTTTCTAGCCATTGTTTCTTGTCTTGCCTTCAGGTGCTTTGGAGAATAGCTTGATCCCCTCTTGTTTGTGGCAGCCCCTCAAATACTGAAATACTGCTATCATGTTCCCCCCAAATCCTTCTTTCCTCTAGAATATCAATACCCAAATCTTGCAACCAATCTTCATACATCTTAGTCTCCAGGCCTTTGATCATCTTAGTTGCTCTTCTATGCACTTCTCTTTTATTTCTTTTATGGTGTTCTCATCAAGTCTACTAGTGAGGCTGATATAGGAATTAGTCTTATTTACCAATTCAGCATCAACCTACAGAATAACAGAGTCGAAAGGGACCTTAGAGGTCTTCTAGTCCAACCCCAGCCTTGAGTAGGAGACCTTACACTATTCCACGCAAATGGCTGTCCAAGCACTTCTTAAAATCCTCATCATACTGTGTTTATTCAATAAGTATAAGTATAATCTTTATTGTCATTGTACTTAAATACAACGAAATTGGTTTTAACCTCACTGGTGCAAAATTATAGCAGAAACAAACAAAAAAAAATAGTGTGTGCATGGAGTGATTGTGGTTGTATTTAAAAGTCTCACAGCCCAAGGATAGACACTATCTTTAAACCTATTTGTTCGGCTGGCTGTGCTTTGATGTCTTCTGCCTGATGGTGGAAGTGCAAAGAGACACTGACCAGGGTGTGAATCATCTCTGAGTATCTTCCTTACTCTGCTAAAGCAGCGAGATCTGGCGATNTGGACTAGAAGACCTCCAAGGCCCCTTCCAATTCTGTAGTCTGTTATTCTAAAGGCTGCAATGTTTATTAAAAAAAAAGGGTTTCTGCATAGATTTTCTCCCAGATGAAATGTCAAAAGCTGTACATGGTTATTGTTTTGTATTTGGCTTATTTTGTTCCAGGAAGGAACTCAGTATGCTTACTGAAATGTACTTAAAAATCTGCGTGACGAGGCTCAACATTATTGTCTCTCTTCAAAATATTAATTGCAGCAGTTCTGGTTTGCAGACTGATGTTATTAGCAACACAAATGGCTTATTGGCATAGAACAGTGATGGATATTTATAATGGAAGACAGTCACCATATATTGAAATATTCATGTAGAATTTTCATAGATGTATGTGCATCCATTAATATATTTTCTCTCTGTTTTTCTTTATAGTTTTTTGTTTCCTTTTAAAAATAATTTTGTGTAATGTTTATTTTTTTAAAAGTTGAATTCAGTTAATAAAACCATTTTTTTAAAGTTGAAGTTTTAACCGCATTATGCACAGGGGTTATATCTATGTGTACGTGACTGTTTGGTATGGCATTGATCCTGCGTGGAGAAGAACAAAGAAGCAAACATTTCTAACATAAACAGTGAGCAAATGTAATATTTCTTATTTCAAACAGCTAATTGGCTCAGCCCTTTCCTCTCGTTCTCTTAGGATGCTTAAAGGTTATACAAAATGAGACTTTTGGCTTGCGATCTGCCTATTAAAATTCAGACTATAATGCCAAGAAAAGCTCTAGGTCTGTTTGTCAAGAAATTTAGCATTGATCCCTCAGAGCTTATATTTGATGGGAATTGATTAACTTTAAACCAAGCAAAGAAAAGTATATTTGAATGTAGGAGTAATGATGGGGCAAGACTTAAAACAGCAGCTTTAAATATCTTTGTTTCTACAAAAATATTTTGTTTGTTTTGTTTCTACAAAAGCAAGTTTGGGAAAGCAATGACACTGGCTTGACATTCATAAAAGAGGAAAGCAGATATTAGTTATGGATGGGGACAAAAGATACTCAACTTACAACCCCAATTAAACCCAAAATTTCTGTTGATAAGCAAGAAACTTAAAGCTTGGCATCAATAACCTTTCTTGCCACAGTTGTGTCACATGACCCCAGGATACCGCAAGGGTAAGAATTTTGATCACATGATGTGACCCTGGGGATGCTGCAGTGGTCATTGTTGTGAAAAATGGTCATAATTCACTTTTTTCAGTGTCTTTGTAACTTTGAACAGTTGTAAGCCTTCTAATACTACCTGTATTAGAAGTCATTTGCAACACAAATGGCAGTGAGTGAAATTGAAAAGCTATTCAATATTTTGTGGGAAGCCCCACTGATTTTGTGGGGACGTGGAGGCTCAGTGGCTAAGACCCTGAGCGTGTCGATCAGAAATGCTGGTCGTTTGGCGGTTCGAATCCCTAGCACCACATAACAGAATCAGCTCCCGTGACTTGTCCCAGCTTCTGCCAACCTAGCAGTTCGGAGGCACGTAAAAAAATGCAAGTAGAAAAATAGGAACCACCTTTGGTGGGAAGGGAGCACCATTCCATGCACCTTTGAGGTTTAGTCATGCCAGCCACATGACCACGGAGACGTCTTCGGACAGCGCTGGCTCTTCGGCTTTGAAATGGAGATGAGCATTGCCCCTTAGAGTCGGGAACGACTAGCACATATGTGGGAGGGGAACCTTTCCCTTTACCTGCACTGATTTTAGAGACGTGAATGAGTGAAACTCCTCATCCAACAGCATGTTATGGTGATCGTGTCTTTTAGAATTGCAAGATCCTTTTGGGTTGTTGTTTTTTTAGCAGCAATCAGAGGCCCCAATTAGAGAAGGTAGCTTTTAAAATTCTAATGCACAGGTAGTACTCAATTTACAACCACAACTGAGCCCAAAATTTATGTTGTTAAGTGAGACATTTGTCAAGTGAGTCTTGTCCCATTTTACAACCTTTCTCAGTTGTTAAGTGAATCACTTCAGTGGATGAGTTGTTAAGTGAATCTGGCTTCCCCACTGACTTTGCGGGTCAGGTTGGAACAGGGGATCACATGACCCTAGGACACAGCAACCGTCATAAATATGAAACAGTTACCAAGCATCTGAATTTTGATCACATGATTATGGGGATGTTGCAAAGGTCGTAACTGTGGAAAACGGTCATAAGTCACTTTTTTCAGTGCCATTGTAACTTTGAATGGTCACTAAACGAACTGTTGTTTGTATTTCTCTGTTCTGTTAAATAAGCTTGCAAGTATTCCATTTTCCAATTGTTTTTACATCAGGTGCGGAATAAAGTCATAGTTTATTTTCATTGCAATAGAGAGAATACCCTCCCGTTTGTAAGAACTGACCTTAACAGAAAAATTCATCATCTATCCTTCAACAGATTAACAGAGTTGGAAGGGACCTTGTAGGTCCATCTAGTCCAATTTCGTTGTATTTAAGTACAATGACAATAAAGATTATATTTATAGTCCAACCTCCCACCCAACAGGAGACCCTCCACCATTTCTGACAGAGAACAGCCCAGTCTCTTCT